CTGTTCATATAAGTTTGCGCATTCTTTAACTATGAGGAATTCTGAAAGGAAAAGTACTCACCCACAGAAAATCTTGAAAAACTATTTCCTACATCTGAAATTTACCCCATTTCATTCTCCGTATGAGCACATTTTTTTTAACCTGTTTAATAACTTTTGTACCGCTTATGCCCTGGTATAAGGTCTGAATACATTTTTACGACACGATTTTCTCATTTTCCACTCATTGGATACTTTTTTATAAGTACTCGATATAAACAATTAGAGCGACTGAATTTTTTGGATACACGGAACACGACAACTTAGTCACATCCATTTACAAGCTTGAGGTTAGAAAAATATCAACAAAGTTCAAAAGATACATAATAAAGACTGACATTCTGATGAAATAGTTTCAAAGTTTATCGTCAAAATATTTGAAATATAAGTGTGTCTTTCATACGACGATGTTTAGAACCTAGGCATGAAACAAAACTGATTTCAAAGTGAAAAATAACCTGAAAAAAAACCGTTTGGAATCTACTTTTTACTGAGGTCAATCATGGAGACCGATATAGACCTTTACAACTTCTCCGACGAACTTGTGGAAAAAAACTGTCTGTGCTGCGCCATATGCAAAGATATTTTGAGACCTCCTGTAATGCTCATCGAAAATGTCGGAAATATATGTACTCCGTGTTTCGACGAAAAGCATGAGGATATGAATTGGCGATACCTGAACAATTACGCCCTGGAAAATATTCTGAAAATGGTGAAATTTCCATGCAAGTTCAAGTCAAAAGGCTGCAATGACAGATTCTCCTATGAAGAGCTGACCTTCCACCAAACCAACTGCGAGTATCGTACCAAACTGTGCTCAATGTTCAAGTTCACTGCTTGCGAATGGGAGGGCAATACAACAGATTTCATAGATCACTTCAAAGAGTACCATGGAGACCACGTCATCATCTTCGAGAAAAATTTGTTCTATCTAGAAACATCCCTCTCAGAGGTTAGTTTGGTCAAGCTGCTAGTGATGAAGCCACACACTTTCATTCTTCGAATGCAGATAAATCTCTCCAGGAAGAAACTGTTTTACATCATTTGTAGCGTTAAAGATGACTACAGTTCTTTTTGTGAGTACTCTGTGAAACACAAGGGGGCCAGTGAGAACTATATTAAGACCAAGTCGAAGATACTTTCGTCTTATCATATTCACAACGAGTTTGATGAGAATATAGCCGTTGAAGTTGACTTAGAAGCCTTGAGACAGGTATCTCAAATCTCTGATACCATCACAAACATTTTTAAGATAAAAATGGAAGAAAGTCAGGCTGAGGTGATTGACGAGAAAATGCTGCACTTCTTTGAGTGCCCTGTTTGCAAGAACTTCATGAAACCGCCCATATACCAGTGCCAATCAGGGCACAGCGTGTGTAACCTATGTCGACCAAGGCTGGAGAAGTGCCCTACTTGTCGAGCCATTTTCGGAAATACAAGAAACTACTCCCTAGAGGGGCTCACCACTGGCATACGGTATCCCTGCATCTTCCATGACTCCGGGTGCATGGAGATTTCTTCCGTTAGTGACATCTTGAAGCATGAGAGCGAATGTCCCTTCAAGCCGTACAACTGCCCTTTTAAAGATTGCTCGTCGACTGGGAACCACGAAGTCATATTAGACCACTTGTTCAGCTTTCATTTCAATTCAGTGATATATGGGGATATGGCGGGCTACACAGAATCCTTTCGGCTGGATCAAAATAGCTATAGCAACAAAATTTTCGAAAGAAAGTGTGTGATTGCTTTCAACCATATCTTCCGGTTGACTTGCAAAAGGTTTGCCGAGCACTGCCTGATGGCAGCAGAGATATGTGGGTGCAAAAGTGGAGAGAAAACATTCGTTTATGAAGTTGCCATTATCGATATGAGTAGGCCAGAGAAGAAACTAATAAGGACTGATTACTGTTTGAATGAAATGCCCGATGACGAGCTATTCAAAAGGTGTATCATGTTTCCCAACACGGTATTGACTTCATATTCGAATCATGGCATGGTTACTTTCCATTTTATGATCAAACAGAAATGAAATTCTCTTTTTTAGTGCTGGCATTAAGTTTGTATTTTGAAGGAGAGAGATAGATTTAATTTACTATATAAAATTTAAATAAATCACATTATTGTTTGGTGATATTTGTTGGTTAAATTTTGGCCTTGCAGATGATTTTGTTCTTCTTACGATTTTAGGAAATAGTTCATAAGTTTTATTTTATTGATGCTTTTTAAATTACTTGAAATATTTCTATAAATAAATTTTGAAAATCTGAATTTGGTTGCTTTCATTGAAAATATCCATGGAAAATCATTGAATCAAATAAAATTTTCAAATTACTCATTTTTTTTTCACAAATATAAAGAAAAATACTTTTATTTCACTACTTCAAGTAACGCCATTACATTTGTAGCAGGTCAATAAAATGAAAGGATAAATAATGCTTCCTATAAAAGTGATGATAATTGAACAGTTTAAATATAAGAATAAGTATGGAAAACACGGTACAAAATATGAGTGTATAATAGATGGGCTGAAAAGTTCGTAGGTTCGTATACAAATGGCGATACTAGCATTAAATCCATATGATTTTTAACTAATTCCAACCTTCAAAAGGCACGTGAATAAATTTCACAGCTTGTGTAGTGGGTAAGCAAATGTTACCTCATAAATATAACCAGGAAAAAAAATTTCAATTCAAGATTGCTCAGTTACATAAATATTTCTGATCAATATCGTTCTACGGATTTCTGTGAAATCTACCAGGAATATTTGTAAAAAGAAAATTATGGATAGATAAATGAAAATTCGCCAACAATGGTTAATTCAACAGAAACATGCATTACACCTAAGTGAAATATCGAGAAAATCTGCATAGTCCAAAAAATAATAATAAGAGGAATCAACAACTTAAATTATAACCAAACTTGCAGAACAGTATTCAAATCCACCAATCTACGCGATTTATATCTATGAATGCCTAATGTTCATTTATAAAAATTCACACCTCTTCACTGAGAATATACCTGCTCGCTCATAAGTATGTACTAGACCAAATGAATATATGTATCCCCTTCATAGACTAACAGTAACTAAAAAAAGCGCCCACTATATGTCAAACAAGCTTTTCATCCATCTAATTTACAGATTAAAATGAACTGAGAAAATTGGAGTTTTCAAAAGAGAACTAAAAAAACTTCTCATAGAGCCTTATGATTTGAACGCATAGATATCTCACGGGAACATTCATTTAAAAATAATTATATCAAAAAAATCTGAACCTCCTTGTTTGACGCCATTTCATTCTATTTTACCGACCTTTTGTAATCTACTCTGAAATGAAGCTGTTTATTATTAATAATAATACGAATAAACATTTATAGGTATAGATAAACCAATTTCCAGGAAAGATTTGGAATAAATGTTTGGTCGAGAATTTTGGAAACAAACACACTATTATAGCCTGTCCAGAAATGAGAGAAACTAGTAATGAATATTACTGGAGTTTTTCCCAACACCAAATCGTTATTTTTAACACCTCGACACGTGTTTCGATCACCAAGTGATCATTAAATATTTCAAATATAAATTGTCCTTCTCAAAATAAAATATTTAGACAAAATTAGTTTTCACGATATTTCAACTATCTTTGCATCATACAGAATATATTATTGGAGAATTTATAATAATATCGCCAGTCCGACGCCTAGTAATACTATATTTGACGCAATATGATTAACACTGTCGGCCGTCTCTTTTGATGTTATTTGCCGCTAGCCCATATTTTAATGGCTCCTTAGCGGCGTCTTTAAGAGGCATAGCGGGTAGAAATATCTCAGTGACTTTATGGATGAATTGCAGTGCTACTTATTCGAGACGAGTAGGTATATTGCTTTCTTCGATGTATCGGCATGTTTGCATTCTTGAAATTCTTTCACTCTCAGACATTTCTGGATAAACAATAGGTCCTTTCTTTTACAATAGCATTCGAATAGTGAAATGAATTTACATTTACTTAGATGAAATGCTACTTAACATTCGTCGTGAAATACAATATTTTCAACATTATACCCCTTCCTATAATACAGCAATAGTAAGGGAACATGTAGATTAACAAAATGTATTGGAAACAATGGACCAATTTTCAAGCCAGCTCGATCCCTGGACCTCACTCATTTAGATTTTTTGTCAGGGGATAAATGAAAGATACACTTTTCTCGATAGTGTACCTACAAATATCGACCATCTCAAACAAAAAATAAGAAATGCATGTAATAGCAATACATCCATTATGCTAGAAACCTGCCACAGAAATTGTATATATGGATAAACAACTTATGTGCATTCAACAAGGAAGTCGTCGATTCCATGTAGTTTGTCATATAGAATTAATTTTTTGAATTGGTAATATATTTGTAATAAAAGGGAAGCTCTATATTAGAAAAAAAAAATGTTGATGGCCGTGTTGACACGAAACATTTCATACATACATACATACATACATTTCAAGTACAATAAATTTCTATTCTAAAAAATCCAAAAACAGCATTTTTAGATTTTTCTGTATATCGAAAAAGGCTAAAGTCCCTCTAAAGAAATAATCATAGTAAAAAGAGCTTTTTCTGATATGAATAGTTTTGTTAAAATGTTTTGTATTAGTGTATAAATTTCAAAATGCTTGTTAAAATTGATAATACAATGCATCTCGAAAAATATTTGACATGTGAATCCCACATTTCCTGCTTCCATTTATGGGATTCCCCTTTCAGTGATTTCAGTTTATGGTAATTTCCTCAAATTCGTAAATATTTTTCAAACCTATAAATCTTCATTCCTGATTAGATTAAATAGGTACCTATATTAGGAAGGATTCTAAAACATAGCCCTGCATCTCACTTCCAGTCAAACAAGAAGCACCATTTTCAATAATTAATTCATCATTTTTACATTACAATATATAGGTACTTACATCCAGGTACCTGTAGAGTGCGATGGAGTCATTCGTTCTATTCATTCTATAGTTATAACGATCACCAAGCCATTTATCGTAATTTGTTCCGTATTCCTTGAGGGTCGGAGCGTGCATCAAATACTGATGTCTAGCTGAGGGTTTTCTGTATAAGTCCACCCTAAAAAATATATCTCCTAAAATCGGTTTCTTTCTCTTTTTCAACAATTGAAAAATCTTATAAATCTAAAGAACCTACAGATATAATCTCCACGTGAAACTTATACATCTGCTTTATAAATTATATTGCTTCGAGCAATAGATTCATTTGAAGAGTCTATTCTTATGAAATTCCAGTCAACAAAAAGGAATAGATAATTATTGAACACATGAAAGATAATGATCACCGAGATTTATCAAATAAAATACTCTCAAATTACTACTGAGTTATCATGCCACAAGTATATCTTTATTTTTGAAAATAAATTTTAATAGCCCAAAGCCATCCTTCATATGATATTTGTGTATCTTCAAACATCAGGTATTTTTGAGCAGAAGTTGAAATATTTGCCTCTCCCTGTACGATGAGAAACTCCATATTTCACAATGATGTTTTATATTTGAAAAAATAGGAATTTCATATACAGACCAAAACTTCCTACCAAACCAATAATGAAAATGTTTTCCATTTGTATCTCCAACTAACCTAACAGTCAAATTAACTAGAAATACCAACCAGTAGTTATTGAGAACTTGGTAGGTAGTATTGGAACCTCTAATTTCAAATTAATCTATTAAAAATATTTTTCCCGCAGCAGAAATAAACCACCGTCTCCGATGCTCGTTTCACTAACAAAGTTAGCATCATGTCTAGTTTTAGGCATCACCCTGATGATGCTAATTTGGTGAGCGAAACGCGTGTTGAGAGATAGTGCTTTAGTTCTGGTGTGGGAGAAGTATTTTCAATAGAGAAACAAACAGTTGTGAGCCATAATCAACAATAAGGTAATTATACACAACCAAATTAGAAATCAAATATGCTCAAAACATAATTGTTATGAATCATCCTATTTGTCACAGAAACTATTTTGCGAAAGAATATGACCAAACACTACACAGTCCCAGTCATTATTAGTTGCCTAGCTATCGAGAGATCGTAACCGTTTTTGATAGTTTTCTGCTACTTCTTATTTCTCAACTCAAAATTTACCCTACTACAGAATGGAGGGCACTATCCGTCTGTTTTAAGAAGTCATGAAACAAGAAACAAATACCTATTCTTTAAAAATAATATTTCCCAGTTAAGTATTTTCTAAAAATTATAGTTGTAACATTTATGTGCAAAATGTAATGGAATGTTGGCGAGTATTTTGATGCTATTTTTCATACATGAGTACCTAGAGACTGAAGTATAAACAAAATACTACAAGAGAATATAAACCAAACAACTACCGAATGTTCCAACAAAAATAAACTGAAAAATCTAATTCTTACTCAGTTAAGTTTTACAATTCAACAAGGTAAACAAAATACCTAAATGCATGCATACCAAAACTTTTGCACACGGATTGTCGCTTGATGTTTTACTAATCTTCTATAAGTGTGTACTACACGGTAACTACTGACCGGGCTACTACCCAAATTTTCTAAAAGTAATATTTTCTACATTTAGAAGGAAATGAAATGCATTTTGACTTCAACAAATTATTATTGTTTATACTTCCGTAACTTTCAAATCTTTTCGTAGAGATATAGTACCGAAAAATTGGATATTTTGAAGGGAAGGTTGTGAAATATTTTTTTTCCAATTGTGTCTTAGCATGTTTCTGGTGAAAAATTACTTTGTAGAAATTATCAAAAGAAGAAGGTATACCTACGTACTATATCAATTTCATAATTTAACTCTGTTTTTAAGTATATTTCAGCCTTAGTCTATCCATCTACTAGATATGGACATCAGAGGATTAGGATATAGGTATACTTTACTATGGTTAGTAATGAGTGAAGGTGATCTCTGCACTCCAATATTTATATTATCTACTTTATAAATTTCATATTTTCATATTCCTCTTTTTATGGAATACTTCTTGAGCAAAATACAATTGTTTTAATATCGCATTTACCATCATAGCTAAACTCTGGCAAATCCTAATTTAATCAACATTTTCAGCTTGATTAGTTGAATATATCATTGAATCACTCATTGGTATTCTTCAAACAAAAGCATATATATCTCCCTTTCTCTCTGTTCATGCAGGAATGTATACTCTATTTTTTAATGTCGAAAACTGTAATCAAAATGTATCTGAAATTCAATATTGTATCACCAACGAATTGAAATCGTTCCGGTATGAACCATATAAGATGGTGCCTACTTGCTTGAATTCTTTCACACACTATACACAGTACAAGCATGTCCAATAAAATAACTCACCGCATAGTTCCATTTTTTTCTTCATAGCAATTTATTTTGAAAGCAAATATTGATAACACTATCAAAACATAACAAACGCAAACTTTTAGCTGCATTTTACAATATTCTGTTCTAGTAAGAGTATTAACTACAGACTTCTAAAGAGGTATAAATGGGAATCGATTGAGGCCGTCCCTATTTATAGTCCTCCAAGAATCGTAAACGAGTGATTCACCGAAGTCGTAGATAATTCGAGAGGTATATCGGTATTACTTTATTCGTTAATTTTGATCAACATATAGTGACTATCAAACCACTCATGATGTAATAAATCCCTAAATAATCTTTAGAATTGTTGTAGGTATCCACTTTGATATTTAATTGATAGATCCTTTCAATGTGACAATGAGATGGCGCGGTGGGAAAAGGCACTTGTCTGGGAATCCCAGAGAGGAAGATAAAAATAGCTCAAGAGACCTTGATTTAACCCATCAGTTCATATCTTACTCTGGTTGTTAATCAGGTTTTTTATTTGATTTATCTGGTTTGAGGCAGAAACATAGTTTTGTTTAGTTAACCACAGTTGAGATTATAAAATTGTCGGTCGAAATCATCTGACGTATATTTCATGAATATTAAAAGTAATTTGAAACATGACCTTTCATAAAGCTAAAAGATTTAGATACCAGAAAATATCGTAAGAGAAGTAAGTACCTACCTAGAAAGAATTGCAATATGTAATTTAGAATTAATTTACGTGCAAATATTCTTGGAAATTCATAAGCATTGCAGATGTAATCTGCTAAATGGGCAATTCGAGCTAGTTTACTCACCAGTTTTCAAATTAGCGTATCCACATTGTCACAGGTAAACAAAATTTCAGGTACTCAATGAAGTTACGGATCGATATTATTACCGACACTGATATATAAGAGCTAACATTATGATAAGTGGTAAAAAAACTTTGAAAGTTATAGTTCTAATTTTTCATAAATAGTTATCATGGAAAAATCGGATACCATAAGAAATATAATGTTGGTTGGATTAGGAAAAAAATTGGCCATTTTAGAGCTTATTTGAATGACGTTTTGTAATTAGGAAAATTCCCAGGGTTTTTGGGGTTATTCAAAAAGAATATGAATTTGACAATTTCGTTTTAATTTTTCTGACGTTAAATACGAAGCTACTAAAAACAAAAAAGCACTACCTCATTGCCAACTTTCCAGCTGTACAGGATGGCATTCACAAATTTTCAATCTGGTATTTTGGTTGTGAGAAACCATAACCAATTTTAATTCTTTACACGAATCACAAAAAATTACCCAATATGTGTTAACTTTCTGGCGACAACTTCATTGATGTTTGTATCAACGTAAATTTCAAGACGTCATTTAAATAAGCTCTAAAGTGGGCAACTTCTTCCTAACTCAACCGATCATGTATCTCTTACGGTTTACGATTTTTCCATTCTGGCTCTCTTCATCTTCAACACATTGTATACCGTATGCATAATATAATTTGTGAGGTTGCGGTCAATAGCTAGACTGTTACAAAAAAATATGTCACCTTTTCGATATATTTCACATTTTCGTCAGGACAATTACAATAATAAGATTATATATTATGTAAAGATACATAAATATGGAGAACTCATGTACGTGAGAATAAAATATAAAATAACTCAAAAACGGATAGAAAAAACATAAAATAATGGAATTTAATCAAAATTTGACTGACAATGTCAAGTGGGAAAATTCTGAATACTACTGAATCTTTTATTCTCATTGTCATATTTCAGTACTTATGTGTAAATTTAGCTAAGATTTTCAATATCAGTTCTGTTATTCATTGAATGTTTTTTGTGATTGATATGTATCACTTCTAAAAATAATCTTTGAGTTATATTGACCTGTCTATCTGAAATATGTGGTTTTTCAAAATTCATTCTAGATAGAGGAAGTATAAGAAACAAAAGAAACTTTTTCATCACCATCATATATCACTATATATAGTGATACATTATAATCGTTCAATAATATCTCGTAATCTATCGGACCCCAAAGTCCCGTCACTTGCTTTGTTATTTGTTCCAAGTGAACACCACCGTATAGAAGTAAACACAAGTAAGTTCACTCTCCGCTATATTTGGGTCAAGATTCTCCAACTCGAATTTTATGCTCAGCCAACATACAGCGCAACTGACTGAATCTGATGGGTTTACCAAGCGAGCCAAGTTGAAGCATGGAATATTATTACAGAGTGAGTCGTTGTAAGCGGTGGTTTTGTATTTGTGAAAATCTTGTGTATAGTTTCAAAATGAGCAAGTGTCGAGCTGTGGCTTGTTGTAATTTGCAGGGTGATGTCGGCATTCGTTTTTTTCGATTTCCAATTGACGAAAAAAGGTATGTTTTTCTATTATTTATTATGTAAGACTGAAGTAATGAACATATAACGAAAATCATAAAATAAATGTTTATAGACCATATATAGTGGGGTCATTAATATGCAGACTTTTTTTATGAAATTAATTTGATGAAATTGAACTTTACGAATAGTATATGCCTCCAGTTGCACTGGAAATCCACAGACAAAAATAATTGTTGAACCACTTTAAGTTTTTGATTTGTATCTGTAAAAAAACAATTACTTCCACTGAAATCTCTGCAAAACCAAAGTATCGAATGTATATTCAAATAACCCTTTTTGTCGCCTACTTTCCATTTATATGTTCCAGATAATCTACAATAAATATCAAATATGTATTTTCTTAGATTCTGTCATCAATAACAAAAAACATTAGAATTTCATTCGATTGACACACTTCATAATTAGCAAACTAGACAACCCAAAACTAAGAAATCTGTATTTCATACAGAAGTTTTGATTTACATCAACCAACCCAATAATATAAAAACAAATATTTCAGAAAAACGATTCAAAACCAAACGAAATAAACGTTTGCTGAACTACCTCTTTTTTGTGAAAGATTTCAATAAACCTTTTTTCGGAACATCAAAACAAATTGATTTTCTGAAAAAAATGAAAATATTTTTCAGCAAATTAACTGTAATATCAAAAAAAGGAAAAAACACGACTGGACAAATGATATTCATTGAGGGGTGGGTGGCAGATAACAATTTCGGCATTTCTGCAACTTTGGGAAGACCTACATAGTGAAGGATACTCCTACATATTGACGAGGAATATAAATCAGGTTTGTGTGGAAAATTATTTTGGTCAACTCAGAAATACTTGAGGAAATGGCAGAAACCCAACTCCCATTCAAATTACCAGAGCTTTCAAAAACACATTTACTCTTCAGTATTTCACACAGGCAGAAGGAACTAACTGTCTAGAAGATACTAGTGAGATTCTATCTAGTATTACAGATGCTGACACAAATAGAATGAAGATTCTTGTGAAAGTTCCAAAAAATCCCTGTAAACCTTTGAGTGTAGAGACAATAGATTATAGAACTCTAATTACTCCAAAAGGCAACAGCTTGGGCTATGTTTGTGGATATCTTTTGAGAAAATGTTTAAGAAAACATTCATGTAAAGTATGTACTAATTTTGCCACGGCAGCCAGTACCCCATTGAAACAAATATATACCTATAGTTATTTCAAGGCATATAGTAATACAGAAGATTCAGATTCATTTTTACAAAATATCATTGATCTAGAGACAGAATTTCTCAATCATTTCAACAATTTATGTGCCACTGATTGCATAGGCAACCAGCTCAAACCAATGTTTTCAAAAATCAATATTTCTCACCCTTGTTATAATTTTCCTTTGGATAAGTTACTTTTTCTTGTCACAAGGATAATAATTTATTATACTATGAAATTTGCCAATAGAAATTTGAAAACAAATGTTAAAAAAATAAAAAATGCATCATTCTGAAAAACATTAAGAATAGATTAGCATAAGTTTTTGACCTAAATTGTATAATCTTACTATACAAAATATACGTTTATTTCACCACCTTGTCTTATTTTTTATCAATTCCTAAACAGTTCACAATCATATGAGACATTTATTGAAAGCTCCTTGTAGCAATGATGAAGTCAGATCATGATCACATATTTTTTGATGGATCCTCGTGCAGAGGTGCACGATAGCTCTTAGCCAACAATCCCTTTTGCCCCGCAACACGCCAGCAAAAAATAAAATCTCGACCCAATACATCAAAGACGCCGACCAGGAGTAAATTTACTTGTGTTTACTTCTATACGGTGATGAACACTGATACAGTACACGCCTCGGCTGATGGCGAGCGATCGCGCAGGTATAGACACTCCCAACTAAATTACTATTAGATTACAATAAGCGCCTTGCCAGCCAGTGTCGTACCTATAATTAGTTTTAATTAGGGTAGCATGACTGCTTTACTTCTTTGTAATTTCTTTTCATATTTTATTTACTATTATATGTAGTAGTACAGTTCATTAAAATTTTATATCATGATACACCTTGCTTGAATTTGTGTTAGGGATTGGATTAATTTGAATATCATGGTATGGGTCATTATGTTGTTCCAGATTTAAATACAAGCCGACAATTCGGTATAAAGCCCATGTCACCTCCTGCATGGACAATAATGAGTCTTGGTCCCTTCGCAATATTTTTAAGTAACCATTTGGTTGTTTCATCCGTCCAGTTACCTATTGGAAAATGTATGTCCACTATGAAGGTATGTTTCATCAAGAAACACAATTGGTCGCTGTTGGCTACAAAAATAATTAATTTTTTGTAAATACTTGATCCTCAATGCTCTAATGTCCACTTTCTCCAAAATTCTTAAAATTTTACGAAGAGATGTTTCGAAAACAATAATTCCTAAAACGTTATTAATTTTGTGTTGGAACTTTTTTACCGTAATACGACACCCTTACGTCTTATGAAAGTCGTAAATAATCCTTCTAATATTGGAATACTCATGCTCGGCAATGGACTATTGAATGATTATGTGAAAAAACTTAGTGCAAGTGAAGTACAGCAGACAATATATGATAAAGACCTGAATGCACGAAGTGAAGTCGACTCAAGTTACCAGAATAGTTTGAAGAAGGTCAAAGTTCACCTATCACCTCGAGAAAAGGACCCAAGAGCAAGAGGACCTGAGTATGCTATTGAAACAGAATCTGAACCAGAATCTCCATGCATCACTTCAGTCGCCATATGTCACGAACGATACAAACACTCCAAATTCCATTCATCAATCTGGTGAAAAAGTGGAACAGAAACAAAAAACTTCAAGTGAAACCACAAAAACAAACACAAACACATTATCGGAAACTAAATTAGACAAAAACCGGACCACAAATACAAAAAGAATTCTCCAACGGAATCTCCCCAACAAAAACTACCAAAATAAAAATTAATATAAACCAATTTATGGAAGAAACGAGAATACAGTTATGGAAACTGTATGGGACATGTCCATGTATGGGACATGTCCATGTATCTTGTATTGAAACTGGAATGTTTTCCGAAAACTCGAGAGATTACTTGAAAGCAACTTCTCCAGATATATATTTTGTTTGCGAACCATGGAAACGAAACAAACGTACTTGTACCTCCAAAGTATCTTTCCCATTGGACCAATTGGATACCGCTTACAATCCAGCTATTTGGCCACAAGGATATGTTGTAAGACACTTCAAATTCAAAGAAAATTTTCACAAAACTCCTCCCAGCATCGAGGGACAATAGAAGAAAAGAAAAAAGATTCCTTATTCAGCAATTTTAAAAAGTTGGTTAACGACCCGAATTCGTGAGCGTGTGAGCATGTAAACGTTCAGAGTATTTTCAATAAGATTGGTATATTACATTTGATCACCAATTCGACGTAATAGGTGTTTCAGAACATTGGCTGAGGGGGGTAGAAATAGACAGTGTATGTCTGGATGGATATGTTCTTGCTAGTCAATTTTGTGGAGAAAAGAAGGGCCATGGTGGCCCAGCATTATTTGTGAAAAAAGACCTTGATTTCAATTACATAGATTTAACTAACTACGAAATTAATTCAGAATTCTGTGATATCGAGTGGTACCGAAAGTAACAATCATTGTTGTCTATAGATCAGACAAGGGCAACGTTAACTTGTTTTTTGTGAAATTTGAAAATCTACTGTCTACCATTGTCAAAGCTTCAACTAATATAATAATAATAATGGGTGATTTCAATATCAACTTCAAAATTAACTCCAATATCCTAAATGAATTTCAAACTTTATCATCTTCCTTTGGACTGAAAATCACCATAAATGAGCAGGATACAAGAATCACAGCCAACGTATTCTAAAAACACTTTATTGTGTGATTTTCACTAGATAGTTTTACAAAAACGCAATACGTGTTTCGCCATACAATGGCTTCCTCGGGCGTGTCTTAATAACTAATTCTACACATTAAATGCTATATATACCTTATTCTACAATTAGAGGTACCTGAATTTCAAGTACCTGAATTTCAAGTACCTGATTTTTTTCCTAAGTTTGTAATGAATTTAATTACCTGAACTTATGTTCCATTTTCCACATTTGAAAAAATATTCAGTAACGGTGAGTTATTTAATTCTAATTGATCATTCAATAAATTACCCGAGTTCCTGAATCTATTGATTTCTAAATATTCTAAAAGATTGAGTTTCAAACTCTTCTCTTCTTATACCATCGTATCCTCATATTACCTCAGATGGACATGGATGATTTAATTAATTTCGAAGAATTTCCAGTACCTTGTAGCTCATTTTTTCTCGGTCCCGTCACCGAACAGGATATTATGAGAGTTACAACTTCTTTTCTCAGGGTCAATATGGGTTTCGCAAAAATCGTTCTACTTCTCTAGCTGTCTTTGATATTTTGAATCTATTGTTGAAGGATTCGAGAAGGTTGTGCATACTGCCATAACGCTTTTTGATTCGTGTATCACACAGTATAATTCTTGAAAAATTGTATTATTATGGAGTTAGAGGGGTATCTCTGTCACTCATAGAATCATACCTTTCAAATAGGTATCAGACGGTTTCGTGTAATGTAATAACCTGTTGAGCACGGTGTTTCACAAGGTTCAATACTTGAGCCCTTGCTCTTTGTTATTTATGTTGATGACATATGTAATTTCATGTCTCCCTGTAAGTCCATTCTCGATCAATCATCATCTAACATTCCACAAGTAATGGAAGAAGTTGAAAATCAAGCCAACGCTTGGTTTCTAGCAAATAAATTGAAGTTGAATAGTGACAAAACTCAACATCTTGAGTTTACCACTGTAGGTTCAGCTAGCAAAAGTGTAAAATTACTTGGCATTAATCTCGGCAGTACCTACTTTATCTTGGCATCAACATACAGCTCTTCTCGCAAATAAACTATCTAGTGCAATATATATCCTTCGTCAACTGCAAAACATCACAAGCGGTGAGATTCTAAAAATAACGTATTTTGCATTATTCCACTCACACTCAGCTACGGTGTTGTTCTTTGGGGGAACTCTCCTGGTTCGATGAGAATTTTCAAACTACAGAAAAAAACTGTCAAAATACAGGCAAGTGCAGGTTTCCGGGAGCACTGTAGACCATTATTCAAAAAATTACGTATCATGCCTTTGCCAACATTATATATTTATCAGACGCTACTGAAAATCAGAAAAAAAAGCTCAGTTGCTAGAGAAACAGTCTGACATACACCAACACTTCACGAGAAATTCGGATAAGGTAAGAACATGCCGTTATCGTTTGACCAGATCAAAAATTAATTCTGTTGATTACAATCCCAGCAAACACACTTGTTACATTTACGTAAAAATGACATAAAATTAACGGAACATGTTTATGTAATACATTTATGTAAATACTTCCACCCCATATTTACATAAATAAATAATTTATGTGAATATGTCATAGCTAATAAGTGAAAACTTACGTCAATATGGTATATTAGGTTTCATTTAACTCATACGTAAAGATGTTACTTCAATATTACGTTCGCTGTGTTTTCAGGTCCAGACCTACTTGACTTTTTGACAGATGAGAATCTCTCGGAGTTTTCGAGTTATATGTTCGTCTGAGTGAAGTTCTGTGGGAGAGGCTATAGTTTTTGAGACATTCTTATCACGTGATACATTGAGATTTGTGTTTTTGATGATGGTGTTTTTACAAAAAAAAAACTGTGGAGGCAGAATTTGGTCTGGAAGTTTTGGTTTTTGAAGGATGCTTTTTCTGTAATATAAGTACGCTACAAAATGCCTAAGTGCCAACGGTCAACTGTCTCGAGAATCACCGATTAAACGACAGTCAAGCTCAGATCGTGTATCATTCCACATCTTAGCCACCCTGTCCATATATTCAATAACACATTTTCCAGTTAATGATTCCAAGTTTTTTCTGCGAGCGAGTGTTATATTTGATTATATTTACCCACTGAAATTATATAAAATATATGTACGATAATGACATTAATGTTACATAAAAATCAGGTTATCTTTGTGGCGGACGTTTCGCAATAACGGGGATGTAAATTTTACGTCACATAGTTACATAACACGTATTGTCAGTTACGTAACATTCATGTCAAATTTAAATGATTGTGTTTACTGGAATCTTTTCAACTCTCTGCCAAATAACTTTGAAGGGCTTAGTATCACCAAATTCAAAAGAGTCATCAAGGAAATGCTACTCAACCAAGGTTTTTACTCAGTCTCGGAGTACTACGATTATTTTAGGACAGTTCACGTCAGCTATGTCTACTCGATATGAAACATACTCACCGGTATTGATTGTACTGTGGTTGTTTGTAAATACCCCTTTTATCATAGGTGAATATTTATTTATTTATATATGTACGTAGGCAACCAATGCGCTGCTTAATATTTTTAAATTTTTACAATTTACTTCTTTGTTTGATATGTTTACTTAAAAATGCCTATAAATACACCTGAATTGCTACAAACATGAAAACGTAACGTAGTTAATAAACTATTCTATTCTATTCTATTCATGATCTGACAAAATTCTTGTTGTATCTTCTTGACAAGTACAGAGCAAGCTTACTTCACGACGTTTCGATTGTTGGTATCCAAATCGTCTTCGGGATCCATTTCATTTTTATCATAAATAACCCCCGCTATTACCACCACCTTCAGTTTGGATCATGACCAGATAAAAATATATACATAACTACTTCTGCGCATTTTCTCTTCTGGCCTTGATATATTCGTCAGATTGTGCATGGATGATATGTAGATAGAAATATATTTTGAGTCTAACTATTTTAAGATCTGCAGGTCAGCAAATTGTTCTCAGTAATCTTGTAGAAAGGTAGAAATTCTTGCAGATCGGGTCTCTCAGATATTAATCTTGACCAGATTAATGATTCCTAACAGAAAAATTACCAACCTCCACCCTTTTTTGTTTGAAAGAATTTCGCATTTTCCATAAAGTTGAGGATAAACCTTGCAGGCCGGCAATAATTCTTGCTGTTCGAGTCTCCTCTCCCAGATATGAATCTCGACCAGAATAGTCATTTCCCATAGATAAATTTCCATCCCCCACCCTTCATGTATAGGAAAATTTCACAATTCTCATAAAATTGAAAATTCGTCCACTCTGCCACTGTATCGCCGGCAGTACCGGGAAGTAGTGGCGTACATGACTAAATACACTCTTGCATACTCACCGGTTTTTTACCGACCATTCCAGTCTCGAATGCTCGGTGAAATTGTAGTTACTACGCATTAACTTCGTTTTGGTAGTGCGTGTTAATTACGACAACAAAGCAACTGATTGTTTGACCGGATAAAAATCCGGTGAGTGTGCAAGCACCCGCTACCAATAAAATATCGGCCGATTTTATACTGGCCGTCCAAAATCTGTGTGTGTGCAACTAGCGTAACAACCAACAATTGAATTCGCCATGATATTCCAATTTCGGTGAATTGATGATCATCAGGTAGGTAAATTATGTTTGTCATTATGGTCCTGATAATCACTCGAATAAAACCAATAAATATCTCTTTATGTTCTACGGCCGATTTTCGCAAACTATGACACTTCATTATCGTTTAAATAAATGAAGAAAGCTCAATATAAAATTGAGAAAGATGAGTCGATTAACATAATGAACCATTTGATTTCAAGATCGATACTTATATATTCAGTGATTGAAAGCTGTATTTTCTTTACTCTCGCGAGAGGTCACAGACCAAATAGTAATCAATGAACCATTTTCGAAGGTCTTTTTTTTATTATTATTTTCAGAGATGAAAGCTGTGGTTCTGATCTTTCGAATGTCCAACAATTTACAGATTTCTTGGAACAGGTTGGACTCAAAATTTCTGCCCTGGTCCGAATGCAGCTCCAATGGGACAACGAATCGACATACCCATTCCTTTACCAGGACGTCAGCGACGGTAAAGGCTTCCTGGTTGGGCAGCGCATAGGCTTGCCCAACCCACTTGCTGAAGTAGTCCATGGCTACCAGGATGTATTTGTTCCCATGGTGGGACTCTGGGAACGGGCCGGCGATATCGATGGCGATATCGCCATCGATATCGCCACTTTCTGCACCAGTCCTTGACGTCGGCTTGACAATTAACCCAGTAAAACCGTTGTCTTACTTTCTAGAGGGTCTTCGTTACTCCCAGATGTCCTCCAGTGACTCCATCATGGATTTCTTTGAGCACCTCCCGTCGTCTGCTCCTGGGTACCACTGTCTGGTGCCTTTCTTCTGCACCGTCATTAGACTCCAACACCCGCTTCAGAACCCCGTTTTCCAAAGTAAGGGAGTTCCATTGTGCCCAGTAGGACTTGATCACTGGCGAATAACCTGCTACCTCCTGCCACGATGGTCTTCGATTACTTTTCTTCCATCCGATGACTAAACCAAGATCTGGGTCTTTCTCTTGGTCTTCCTTGATCTTATCATCCTCCCAGTTGTCGTCTACAGCTGTAGTTCTACAAATAGCTGCTTCCTTCTCTTCTG